TTTTTTTTTTTTTTTTTTTTTTTTTTTTTTTTTTTTTTTTTGGCATTTTTGGCATTTTTGGCATTTTTGGAATGTGTCATGTGATGATGGATTGGTCTATGCTAATAAGGAATGGATTTGTTCATTAGGTTGAAAGGTCAAACAGATGTTATATAAAGTAATAAAGTAAGCTCGGTCGATCGAGAATCTTTTTTTTCCTCTCCCTTCAAACACTGTAAACGAAGAAAATAAAAGGTCCGCAACCTGAGTCAATTACCAAACCAATGGGTTACTTTCATTTTAAAAGGTGAGAGGGATCAGCCAATTAGAGGAATGTGTATAAGTTGGACAATAGATGGAGTGTAAGTTAGGTTTACGTTGAGGAAAAATATATAGTTTTATATAGATAAAAGGACTAAGTAGTTTAACAATCATACATATGTGTATAGTTGCGACAATTCATATCTAACTTCGAAAAAAATTTCTGTACTATTGTGATAATCGAACGAGGTTTAATTTTTTTTTAAATTTTTAAATTTTTATTTTTAAGTATCCTTGATTAAGAAATCGAACTTTTAACAAACGATTAAAACTAATATTTAATACAACAAGTTAGATGAATATAAAGTATGAAAAATTAATTCTAGATAAACAATTTGGAACAATATGCAATAATAAATCACGGTACTAATTTTAAAATTAAATAGGACAGAGTTAGAGATTTAACACCATAATTTTGTAAAATTAAATAGGATAGAGTTAGAGATTTAACACCATAATTTTGTAGTAGTTTTGGTCAAACTCTACCTACTTCCACTCTATTTAAATACTTATTTTCTTTCCATGCCTTAGATGAGAATATTTGCTAAAATCACTGTATCTATATGGTTTTGAAAGTTCTCAATTTATAATCAATTACATAATTAAATAAATTACAATGTTTGTCTATAATAAAGGGTCAAATATAGTATCTTGGTAAACTGTAATAGAAATGTTAAATATCCTCAATCATACAATATATTTGACAATAATAAAGGGTCAAATATGATAGTAAACCATAATTCAAGCTGAGCATCGATTTGAACGAACGTGAAACTTGGATTTCAAAAATTCAAATAGAGGTCGAGAAACACTTTTGTGAAGATGTTAGCAACTTGGAGATGGGAAGGTATATACTGTGTGCGAAGTTTGCCGGCCATAACAAGTTCTTGAAGTAAATGATAGTCTAATTCAACATGGTTGGCCCATGATACATATGGTAAACAATAATTCAAGACTAAATATCCTTAACACCCCTTGCAAGCTGAGCATCGAATTTGAACAAACGTGAAGCTTGGATCTGAAAAATTCAAAGAAAGGTCGAGAAACACTTTTTGTGAAGATGCCAGCAACTTGGAGAAGGGAATGTACATATTGTGTGCAAATTTTTCTACCGATAACAAGTTCTCGAAGGAAATAATAATCTAATTCAACATATTTGGCTCGCTTGTGAGAAACGGGATTAAAGCTAAAAAAAACAGCACTTTTGTTGTCACATAAGAGTAAGAGCTGCGGTGAAATAGGAATCTTAAGGTCATACAAAAGATGCGTAAGCCAAAGAAGTTCAGCAACAATCATGGCAGGAGCACGATGCTCAAATTTGTAGCTGGAGTGTGAGACAGCAGGTTGCTTTTTTGGCACTTCAAGAAACGAGATTGCTACCAAGATAAATGGAATAGCCAGATGTAGAACGACTATTATCAGGACAACCAACCCACTTAGAATCTGAATAAGCCACTAGGAACAGTGGATGGACGAAAGGTAAGACCAAAGTGGAGTGTTCCCTTAACATAGCAAAGAATACGTTGACAGCAAGAAAGTGATATGTAGTAGGGGCATGCAAATATTGACTGATAGAATTGATAGCATGGGCAATATCTGAACACATAATGTTCAAGTACTGAAGGGCACCAATAAGAGATCGATAGATAGTAGGATTAGAGAAAGGAGAACCATCAGTAGTCAAGTGTTGAGAAACAATCATGGGGTGTAGACTGGTTTGCTATCGAACAATTGAGCACGAGTAAAAATATCTCGAGCATATTTTAATTGACTAATAAAGAGACCATCAGGAGTGGGTGAAACTTCAAGACCAAGAAAGTAATTGAGAGAGCCTAAATCCTTGGTAGCAAACTCAGAATGAACCTTGTGAGTAATGCTGTCAAGAAGAGATAGGTTATTGTCGATGACAATAATGTCAACAACATAAAGAAGCAGATAGATAATGTTAGATTGCTGATGAAAGACAAAAAAAAAAGGACATATCAGTGCCATTGCAAGAAAAATCAAGTGTGAGAAGAAATGACCTGAAACGCTGAAACCAGGCAGAAGGACTTGCTTTATTTAAGTCATAGAGAACTTTTTTTAATAGACAGACATGAGTGGGAAATCGAGGATCAATATATCCATGAGGTTGTTCCATATGAACATGTTCAATAAGATTTTCATTGAGGAAAGCATTCTTGACATCAAGTTGCCGAAGAGGTCATTTATTTGTGACAGTAAGAGAAAACACAACACGGCCAGTAGTAGCCTTGACAACTGGACTGAAAGTGTCAATGTAGTCGAGACTAGGAACCTGAGTATAACCTTTGGCAACAAGACAAACCTTGAAACTCTTGACGGATCCTTCAGGCAAATATTTAATGTGGAACATCCATTTAGAACCCACAATGTTAGTGTTGACAGGGCGAGAAACTAAAATCTAAGTGTCATTTTGTTGTAAAGCTCAAAGTTCTTCATCCATGGCAGCAAGCCAAGTAGGATTATTAGCAGCAGATTTGAATCCTCTTGGCTCAGTGGATGCTAGAAGAGGAGAAAGAAGTACAAATGAGTCCAAAATACCAAGAATTGTTGGATGACCAGTCTTGAAGATACGACCTTTGGCTCGTGTGATCATAGAATGAGAGCCCAAAAAAGAAGAGGATTCAAGAGCAGGTTCAATAGAGGGTGGATCAAGAGTCGATGGTGGCAAAGACGAACCTACAAGAGAAGTAACCTACACAAACTCATCCACAAGGCCAAAAAAAATATCACATAGAGATGAACTGGATTGAGGAATGTGCGGTGAAAAAGGGGTAGGGGGGATGAATCAATATGGTAAAGATGGCGGTTCCAAGAAATTTAAAATATGAAGAGAGGAAAGAGGTGGGCTTGAGAGCTAGGGTCAACAGGAAAGTGAGTTTTCATCAAATTGAGTGTGACAGGTGATGTATAACATAGTGGCGGTGGGATCAAGAAACCCTTTATGAGAGAGAATATAACCCAAGAAAATGCAAGAAATGTTGCGGGAGAAAGTTTGTTATGCATATAATCACACAAGCAAGGATAAACACAACAACCAAAGAGATGAAAATTGTCATAATGCGGAGAGTAGCCATAAATGAGTTCAAAAGGTGACTTACCTCCAGGAAGTGGAGTAAGTTCAAAAGGTGACTTACCTCCAAGAAGTGGAGTAAGCAATCAGTTGATAATATAAGCTGCAGTGCTGAAGGCGTCAACCTAGAAACGAGGAGAAAGATGAGAGTGAAAGAGAAGGGTCAAGCCAGTCTTAGTCACATGAAGTTGTTTTTCTCTCAGCACAATCATTTTGAGAAGAATGTTGATTTTCCACAAATTTTTGAAATTATTGAAATTGAAGAAAAATATGAAAGAAATCATATTTAAATTTTAAAGGATCCAAGTGAATCGGGAATAATCATCAATAAAAATAACATAGTAAAGAAAATCTGAATTGGATTTGATCGAGGAAGGACCCCAAAGTTCATAATCAATAAGATCTAACACATGAGACGACCTATTTTCATTGCAGGAATAAGGCAATCGATGACTTTTCAGAAGCTGACAAGTCCTACATAGTGATGAGAAGGCAATAAAGATGTAAGAGAAAGATGGTCTTTTTTATTTAAAAATGAAATAACAGAATAATTCACATGACCGAGGCGAGTATGCCATAAATCGTATGAAGCACGTAAAGATTTGTTTATAAGGAAAGAAATAAAAGCAGAGTTGCCCTCCAACATATATAGCCCTCCATCCTTTTTACTGGGTGCCACCATCCTTCGTGTTTGATAATTCTGGATAATAAGGAGATTATTAGTAAATGTAACGGAGAGAGGAAAATAAGACGTTAATTTACTAATTGAAAGAAGATTTTTAGT